TCTTCCATTTCTGCTAAGTTTTTTGTTTCTTTTCCCTTTGATCCCTTTTTATGAGCTTGTGCCCAATTTCCTTTGCTTTTTCCCTCCTCTGTCCCTTGGTTTTTCTTGTTGCTCTCTGGAACCCATTTTTGTTTTATCCTGATTGCGCTCAGATGGGAAACCATGTGTTTGTTGTTGGGTTTTGTGGGTGTGTGTGTCAGAGTGTGGGGGGGGGGGAAAAGTGTGGAGGAACTGTGGCTATTTGGGGCTGAGTGGGGGGGGTGGGGGGGTTTTTTGGGGGGGGGAAACGGGGGGGGAGGGGATCAGGGAGGGGAGGATAGGGGAAGTTTTGAATGTCGGTGGTGGGGGGGAGGTTTTGTGTGTGTGTGTGTTGTGCCCACTCCCTGGAGTTTGCGGGGGTCGAGTCCAAGCCCGGTGGGGTTTTGGGCGTGTGTTTTTGTGTGGGGTTTTTTGTGTGGTGTGTATGTGTTGAGTGTGCGTGTGCGTGTGGGGTTGTGGTGTGTGTGTGGTGTTTGTGGTGTGTGTGTATGAGTTTGTGTATTGTGGTGTGTGTGTGGGTGTGTGTTTATGTGTGTGTGTTGTGTACTCCCCTTTTTGTATCACCTATTTGGGGTTTGCGGGGGTTCGAACCTAGCTCCTGGCCCCCCCTTTTTCCCCGGTTGTATAGGCCCTCTTCTCCCCGCTCCAGGGCTTTATAAAACCTCGTTTTAAAAAATGTGTAGGGTTCCTGCCTCCATACGTCATTTTTGGCATTCCCCTGTTACAATCTATGACTAAGAAATATTCCCCTAGTCTCTTGACTCATTTGTGTCTTCAATTTCCCAATTGTGGCCTCTTGTTTCTGTGCCCCCTCCCTGGAAATCCTGTCTTTGTCCACTTGTCTTTTCCCACGAGTATTTTTTGTCGTTATCATGTCTCCCGGACCCCTGTCCTCCAGTGTCGTAGGCCGTTTTCCCCTTAATTTTTCTTCATAGGAATTCCCCTTGCTCGGGAAAAACTAACCTTGTCGAAAACCCTTTGTATTTTTCTCTGTTTTTGATTGTTTTATCAAGTGCGGGTTCAAACAGGTGTTGCATATCCAGTAGGGGCCTGACATAAGGTGTCGGGTTCTGAAGTTTCCCTTTCAAAGGTTGGAATGTGTTTCAGGTTTCCCAGGCCCCATATGCTGCGCGTTATTGTTTTGTGTGTGTTCCCCGGGGGCTCTCGGTGTTTTTATCACCCAAGATTTTTCCCCTTTTGAGTGGGTTTGCAGTCTTTGGCCCCCTGCCTATACTCTGTCTGTGGTCTTCGTCCCCTTCCCTATTTCTGACTTTGCATTTGGCAGGATTAAATTCGGAAGCCTTTTGCTGGACCAGGTGTCCAGTCGTCAGGTCTCTTTGAAGTCCTGCCGGGTCCTCTTTAGATTTAATTCTCCTCTTAACTTCAAAATCATCTGCAAAAGGGACATTTGAGTCTAACCCTTCGTAGTCGTTCCATAACCAAAAATAGCATGGTCCAAGGACCGCCCCTGTGGGCCCCCGCTCGTCACAGGTGCCCCGTAAACATCATTATGTCCCATGACTCTTTGTTGCCCCCCTGTCAGGTTTCTTGATCCTTGCAGTCCCCTTCCCGTTATATGCGCCTGACTCTAGCTTCTCCCCAAAATCTTTTGTGAGGAACTGTGTCAAAGGCCTTTTGCAGCCCAAGAAGTGAAATAAACCCCCACCCCTCTTCTTTGTCTTACTTCTGTTATTTTATCATAAAAACCAAAAGGTTTTGTGACAGGATTTCCCTTTCCCGTGAATCCGTGCTGGTTGGATTTTTCTCCTGTTCCGTTAGGTGCTCCCCACTTCCTCCTGTAATCTCTCCATAATTTGCATCTATAACGTCAATGACAAGGTCTTGTTTAGTGCCTTTTTTTGTTCCTTTTTTAAAAATGGGAATTTACATTTGCCGTCTTCCATACCTCGGGTGGGGGCCCATTTTCCCAGGGATGTGTTGAAGATTGTGGAAGGGCAGAAAACATATCTGCCCCCTCTCTAAGGACCCACGGGGAGATTTGTCCGGTCCCTTGCCTTTGAGGTATCGTGTCCCTAGCGTTTCTTACCTCCTTCATCTGTTTATGTGTCCAACACTTTTTGGTGTATTCCTTGCTGGTGTCCCTTTGGTTGTTCCCCCAGAGCCCTTCCCTGTCTTCTGAAAAATATTCCCTTAAATCTGTGTTGAGCTCCTCGCTACCTTGATGTTTTTGTGGTTTCCCCCTTTCTTTCTCAGCCTTATCCCCGGCCCTTTGATGTTGTCTTCCTCCTAATGTGGCTATCAGCAGTTTCGGGCGATTTTTGACTTTCGATGCTATGTCGTTTTCTACTGTCCGGGCCTCCCTCCTTATCTGTGCTACTCGTTTCTGGCTCTTCTACAAATTTCCCCTTTTTTTCCTGGGCCCTATCCCTCTGTCCCCTTTTCCTTTCTTGTTGCCTTGTTTTTGCCTCCTCCCCTTGGGTTTAAACCAAGGATCTTTTTGGTTTTCCCTATTATTTCTGTTTCCCCTTGGGAACAAAACTTTCCCGCCTCCTTGCACTTTGTTGCTAAATTTCCATCATTGTTTACGATTTTCCTACCCTTTTTTCTGTCCCACTGAAACCCCCTGCAGGAAGTTTTATACCTGTGTTTGTCCCCCCCCTTTTTTGTTTGGCCTGTCCCTTCGTTCCCGTTTTCCCTTTTCCACTTGTAACTCTATATTGTCAAAATCAGAACCCATGATCGCTAGCCCAAAGGGCCCCCTGTAAGGTTTTTCC